ACCCACTAGGAATAATTTCCACACTGCCTGCGCCGAGCTGTGGTCACGTGAGAGGAATGTGGGTCAGTTAATAGAGAAATGTTAATGCAGTCCAGGTGATTAGTCAACAACGCAAACACCTTACCTCCCTGCGTTAAAATACTTTGGCTTTGGGTGTTGGAGTTGACTTTGCATAACTGGCAGAACGCTGTTTAGTATTTTTACAAGAAAAAACTATGATAACGTTCGTGCCCTGAAACACTTCATCAAACTGCAGTCTACCGTGGTCTCTAATTACCGAGAGCAGTGATATTTCAAATTTCTGTCGCACTGCCACACGCGGCGCTATTCTATCAAAGCACACCTGACGAACAGCCAACCAAGACGTGAGTGTGTCTGGCAGCGTTTGCTCCACCTCTGCTTAATGCACGCCCATCTAAGTATAGGCTTCAAATTGAATTGCAATTAGCGCTCGTAGTTGTGTTGATGGCAGTAGGTAATGAAGGAGTGGGGGAGGTTGAGCCGGTAAGTGCTCGATGCCCACGCCTATTGTTATTCAAGGGCGGTCTACAAGGAAGCATTCACACACACACACACACACGTGAGCACACACCCACGCAAGGTGCATTAAGAGGGAAGGACAGGTGACTGCCCCGGCATCACGTGACGACCGATTTGTCAAATCAGCCACTGGGACGGTGGCGACGTAGAAACAGAGGCTTTTTTTAGTCTGAGTTTGTTTGCATGACAAGCAATTTGGATTCAATGCAGAGTAAATACGAGATGACAAAAATGGCACACAGGTGATCCCTTGAATTGTGGAGTTCAAGTTTGTCGGTTAGCTTTGCACACATTGTCATCGAAAAGGTTCCTGGACGTCGCGAAAGCCATGCGTAATTAGGGCTTACGTTCGATTTCCTCAAATCCGTTAAAATTCCATGACATGCGCTGTCCGGGGATTCTCGATCCTCGCAATATTCTTGATGATAATCAACTCCAGCAGCAGCAACGACTGCCTCAGGCACTGAACCGTCGGTCGATGTCTTCGTTGAGCTATTCTACTAGTCAGACTCCAGTGCAACGTTTAGAGCTCATTTCCGACCTTTCAAGGTGGACTTCAGGGCCGATCGTGCTTCACAGGACAAGTATTTGGAAGCGGACATCGAGAGAATGCTCCTCGTTGATGGAATCTTTTGCGTCAGAATCGTCTGCTGTGAAGGATTAATCATCTGGGCTTCTGGGAGATGATTACTTTTGACTGGAACGACTTGGTCAATTAATGGACATCGTGAAATTGAAGGCCACACACACAGACATGAAGGGCGTCTCTGACGACCTCAGTACTCTTGTCGAAGCTTTGTTTAGCACTATCTTACAATCCTCTAGTTAACAACACGCTTCAGTCCGAGAAGAGGCGGAAAGAGGCGTCAGGGAACACGATGACATGATGACCTCAGTACTCTGTTTTCGATATTATGCCACACCTCCTAATCCTAGAGCAACAACCGAGCGACAACGGGGGCCTTTCGAATTGACTTGTGCAGCTACTGGAAACCTGAACACATGCTTTTTGTAAACTGTGAAAATGCATAACCTTGGATACAAGCAGATTCTGTTCGTACTGTTTCAAATGTACCTAAAATCCATTCTCGCAATACTCCCTTACGTGTTGTTGTTGAGTTTGGGATCAATCGTTAGCGACGGCATTCGATTGGTTGTTCTGTCATCATGGCGTCCCACAGGACGAAGTGTGCAGCCAATAGCCAGGCCCCCTTGGTTTGGATAAGGCACAACCTGAGACGACTGCAGAAGCCATAGTGAAGTCATATTGTCAGTAATCACGACGGGTATTTTGTGCTGTTCAACAACCACGCTCATGAAGCAGTTTCTATTCACTGAGCAAAATGCTCGCTTGGCACAGCTCCATGTAACCAATCGGAGTGAGGCAGGCTGGGAGGGTTAATTAAGTGAATCGGAACTGCAGGCTTGGCAATTAAAACAGCACAGCTGATTCTGAATGCCGATATAATCGTGGATATGAAATGCTTGCTTGCAGCTGATTGGCCGACATGACCACTGTGAAAGATAGTTCGTTGGTTCAAGGCCACGTATCAAGTCGTGGCGCTGCAGGACGCAAACGCAGCAAATACTTAATTAACCATATAGTATGCGGTGGTTCAGTCATCTCACATCTAACCCCATCAACATGGTCTTGAAATAATTTCAGTCAGGTATTTTGGCACTTTGACGTCGTTAGATTTAATGAAACGTATTTGAATTTAGAATTAACGGCCTCGATACGATGAAGTCGCCCACGAGGCCCAGTGCCATTTTCTTCCACGTGCGCAGGTTTTCTTCTGAACTCATGACTGTAACAATTGGACTTATCGTATTACCCGCCACAATCATTCTCGACTTAAACTAACCCGTGATTGGTTCAATTTATGAACTTTCAGTTCTTCAAACACAGTGCACATGATAAAACATTTCTAGAATTGAATTGGAAAAAGTGAACGAAGGAACTCGTTTGTACGTTTAAATTGGAGACCGTCGATGAAAGCATGTACCGTGAAGGTGGCAGCTGTGTTGGAGAAACCGTACATAACTAGCGACAACTCCCGTGACGTAGCATTTACAAACAAGGGGTCTGCCAATGTCTGGAGAGGCCCTTCTGGGACCTCTCGGTGAATGAATAATTTGATGAACAGGAATCGAAGGGGAAACAGGAGAAGGTTTTGATTGCCATCGAGTGGAATTTCAGAAAGTGTTGTCGATGGACTTTGGCCGGAATGTCAGTTCTGATCTCGTGTTCGGCAGATGTAAAAGACTTGAGCAGTCCACCACCGAAATTAAGCTGTACGTCTCACCGCGAAGCATCGAATTCATCCAACGCATGCACAACCAAATTGACGAATGTGTAATCGTGCTTCAGGCAGTCCGCCTTCCAGTCACTACGTCGTCTTCTCTGACTCCAGTAGAATGCTCGTTTAACAGAGCACCAGCTAGTTGTGTCCGGCTGAAGTGAAATTTCGATTTTTGCACGAACGATAAAGTCGAACGGGGCTTGCACAAACGTGTTCTAACTCATGTTCTATCGGTCAGGGCGTCGTGCGCCTGATTTGTGCATCTGAAGAACTGGTGAATCACATCAACCTATTGACACCGGAGTTGGTTGAGT